TAAGAACAATGCACGTTGACTGGAGAGTAGCGGGCGGGAACCTTTAAATGGGACGGAGGGAGTATTTCAGTTTTCTAGTACCCCTTTGATTCTGAACAAGCCAGAAGGCATAAGGTATTGAGAACATTATTAAAACCACCTCAAATGGGGGAAGGGGGGGTTATTAACTCTATGTGCAATCCTCATAATTTTTGTGTGCAGGATATTTGGTAGAGACTTATCAGGATGTGTACAGATTTATAAGGTTCACCTCATACAATCTTCTAAACAGTTTAGAGTTCATAGTCTACTTTCCCATCTTCTTGTAGGGCTGTGTGGAACCCAGACAATAGTAAGGACATAAATACAGAAGAAAAAATAGAAGAAATTTCGAATGAAAATAAATCAGGAAAATAAAACATCCATTTAAAATCAATTTTTTTTTCCTAATATTTGTTCAAACTTGTTATATTTGTTTAATTCTAGTATATGAAGACTAAGAAATTTTAACATACATACAATGTTTAATTCTATCATATTTCTTTGCATTTTCCGATGTAAAGCCAAACACCATTTGGATTCCTCCCCTTTTTGCAGCATTTTCTGGGTTCCAAATAGACCCTATGCTTCTTCAAGAGTATTATGGTTTATCTAATAATATGTTTAGGAATAACTAATACGAAGTATGTAATAACCACTAAACTTCTTTCCTTTTAATCTATTAGTGTTGGTCCAAAAGGATCAAAATTTCTGAGATCTTGCAACCCTGACTACCAACCTCCCTTGTTACTACCCATGACTTCTGAAATGGTGGTTGATGAGGGAGGCACAGACATACCTGCTGAGTGTAAAGGAAGCGATGGTTTGGCTCTTATGGAAGTCAATGCATTGTCTCAGGTCTGTCATCTAAGTGGTATTGTCTTTCTTACTTTCCTAGCGTATTAACAAGGTTACTGCATATGTATTATGATCTTTATCCAAAAACTGATATGCATTGCCATGTAATTTATGCTTCTTTTCTTATTAGTCCCTCACCTGTTATAACAACCTCTTTTTGACAACGAAACAACTATAACTTATAGATTTCCTATCTTTCTTTGTCACCGTGATTTTTATAGAGCTGTTAAAATCTACTTAAGAATATGAATGGTTAGTTTCACTTTATTTTAATTTCAATATCAGTCTCTAAAAGTTATAAAATGATAAAGTTAATAGTTGAGTTATTCAACCGACATTCTTTTTGTAAATGGAGATTGCTCCGAAGTTAGAAAGGGACTAAAAAGAAATTAGCGCATATTACCTGGATGAAAAAGAAAAGGGTAAAGTAGATAAAAGGTAGATGTGGCTTGAGCCGTTTTCAGATAGGGGCATGTGTTTCATTTTTTAACAAAGTGGGACATGTATTTTAATTCTGTTGTCACGGCTGGGGCATTATGTCTAACGCCATTATAAAAATTAACTCAGATTTTCAAAAGTCTCCGAAAAATTAAAAGAAAAATATTAGGAGGTGCGCCTCGTCAAGAAGACCTCCAAACCATCTTTCTTTTCTTGTTTTCAGCCACACTGTCACCAGAAAGTCCACCGGAAAAGTGACATTAGCGAATTCAATTTTAAAAAATAATTCAAATAGAGCTGAAAAATTCAAAGAGAACGATAGTTTGTTGGTTCTCCTTGCCGAGGCGCACCTCCCATTATTTTTCTTTTAATATTTCGGAGACTTTAGAAAATCGGAGTTAATTTTTCTAAAGGTGTTAGACGCCATGCGCCAGCTGTGATAACAAAATTGAAACACATGTCCCACTTTGTTAAAAACTGAAACATGTGCCCATATATGAAAATGGCCCAAACCACATGTATTTTTTCTGTACTTTTCCCAAAACAAAAAGATGTAGGGATCTAAAATGACCAGAGTCATATTTGAAGGGACTAAAAATATATTTAAACCTTTATTTTTATAAATCTTTTCCTAATTTTCTGGTCATATCTGGTTCCCTTTTTGCAATGTAGCCAAAGATTCATTATTTTTTGGCTTGAGATTATGATGGAATAAAGCAAAATGACTCAATAAACTGTCTGCGCTTCTTTGTTATGAAGCAGCAGTCTGTCCATGCAATTTTGGATGGGATTTTCACTATGGGTCATCCGGAAACAGTCTCTCTGTGCTTTAGTACAAGGGTAAGACTGCGTACATCCGACCCCCCCTTACCCCACCGTAGGTGGGAGCCTTTGTGGCACTGGGGTAAATGAAAATGATGATGATGATCTGGTTCCCTTTTTGCATTTGAAAATTGCTGTTGGTTCAGGCAGAAACACAACTCTATAAGATGCTCCTAGAAGAGAGGAAGAAGGTTGCAAGAGCTAATGGAACCGCACCGTATGAATTTGATCCCCACCCTGCACACACAAAAGACTCTTCTTTGAACTTTCATGTTGCCAAATATTTCCCGATTGAGCGAAATAAATTGATTTTCATTACAACTGTACTTTGTCTTTTTTATTTTAAAAAGTGTTCCAAACAAGTTAAATGTTTTATATTAGCTAAATCAACATATATAAAAGTTATTAAGTTCAGAGAAGCTAGAATTGATGATTTCCAAACATTGCACTTCACATAAATGAAAATGCTTTACCTCGGTGAAACTTAAAAAATAATGGTAGTATATGACATTGCAATATTGTATTTATTTATATTGGAATATTGTATTTATTTATTTTTAAATGAAGAGATTCAACCCCCCTCTTTTTTATGTACCAGTTCATTTAGCTTGTCTTGGCGCTTGACTGCTTCTCACTTGTAGGTATGCAATTTGTGGTGATGCAACACTGAAAAAGATAAGTTTGACAAGGCCTTCTACAAAAGCCAGGCTAGCAAACATAGACGGCGTAAACCAGGTAAACATTATCCCTCGGTTGAGTCAGCTCTTCCCTTACCGGGGGAGTAGTTCACCTGGTAGGAAGAGAGTGCCACAAGGTATAGGTCTCGGGTTCAACTCCAAGCAATGACTTGGGATGGAGTCCCGCTTTCTTTCCATCAGAGTGTGATCAAAGCTCAACTTACATCCTCCCAGATAACTTAGGGATGGGGGTCATCCTTTTTTTTGAGTCAGCTCTTCTCATTGCCTTTTCAAATTATGACCCACATCAAACTCTTCTCAAGTTTGTTTACCTTTATATTCAACATGTAGATTACAAAATTTCACCTACTCTCCTAGCTCCCATGTCATTACCTTTTGTCTGACAAGGTATAACCGTTATAAGCAATAAATGTAGTTGCTTGTTAAAAACTCTTTCAATAATGAAACTAGGTTTTTCATACTGCTTGTTCGCTAATTTGTTTGGCAAACTACATGAAAATTGTTTTTATTTGACCAAACTGCACAAAAAGCTTTTGAAATAGGACAACTTTTATGTTACAGAGTGAGTATCATGTTTAGTGCTATATAGTTTTGTTTTTTGGTTACTTATGGATCTATTGTGTATGTGTTTTGCCACGTGATCGTCATTTTAATGGATACTTAAAAATCTGAGGTTAAACTCTTGATAACTTTGCAGCATTTTATGAAAACATATGGTGATTATTTTCTTCAAAGCATTAAGCAACTGTCTGAAGAGCTTGATCTTAGTTTGGATGGAGGACGATGCACTCAAAATGTCCAGTCTTCTGTTTCCACTAATAAGATAGTTACGTTACCGAGAAATAATAATTTAACACCAGCAAAGTTTGAAGCATGGAAGATGTGGCAAGAAGATGGTCTTAGCCCCCAGGAAATTGCTGTTGAGTCCTCTAACCAAACCTTCCTTTCATTTTTATGTCCAGATTTGTTGTCTGTAAGTCTGTAACTAGCCTGTAGTGTCTAACTATGATGTACTATTTACTGTTTAGAATTTTCCAGGGAGAGCTGCCCCAGTAAAAGAACAAACTATATTTAGCTATATCCTTGAAGCTGCACGTGAGGGATATCCTTTTAATTGGACCAGATTTTGTGATGAAAGTGGGTTAACCCAAGAGATATTCTCAAATATTGCAACCGTTGTCTCGAAAGTTGGTAAAGAAAAGTTGAAACCTATTAAAAGTGAGCTGCCTGAAGAGGTACAATTTTGTTCAATTACACAATTTATCCAAGTTATCATGTATCGATTCATGTTAGCCGACCCCAAAATCTTTTGGGACTAAGGCTTGGATGTTGATGTTGTTGTACACAATTATCCAAGTTGATAGATTTGTTTTCTTATACTCCCTCATTTGCTATTTATCTGTCTTCACTCACCAACTCATGCTATAAGGAAATGAAATAGTGAAAAATCTATCAAAGCTTTTTATATTTGTATTTTGCGAGAAGTACTCCTATTTAATACAGTAAACAACAACATTACCCCAGTGCCACAAAGGCTCCCACCTGTGGTGGGATAGGGGGGTCGGATGTATGCAGCCTTATCCATGTACTCAAGAACACAAAGATTGTTTTCGTATGACCCATGACAAAAATTGCGTCAAAATCTGCGTAACAAAGGAATGCAGATAGTTTAGACTTTAGTAAACCATCTTGCTTTATTCCATCATATTCCCAAGCCAAAAAATAATGAGTCTGATAGGAACCCATCAGTATAATAATACTAATAATAATAGAATTCTAGTAAATAATTGTGATAGTATAAAAATAAGGCTTTTGGGCCAGGTAAGTCATGAGTTGGGCTGGCCCTTTTGTTTTAGTATAAGAAGGGGAGGGAGGAAAAGGGGAAGGCAGGCAGAATTTGGGGATCGGGACTGGGAAACTGGGAGTGTGAGACGACTCGAAGAGTCTCACATTCTTTTACGTTATTTTTCTGTATTCCATCCATAAACCTTCATTAATAAACTAAGGTTATCTACTGCATTTCTTTCGTTATGTATCAGTCTTTGGCTCCGTTAGAAATTATGGAAAATCCCATTTAATAGAGTATTTAGAATAATTACTTGATACTGCATAATTTCTTTTTTGCATAAAATGATAAGCAGGGTAAAATAAAACAGGAGACAAATATACTTGATGTGCATAAATTTCATAAAATAGTTATTAAAAAGGAACTAATAATTTTGGGTGATGAACCCTGACTGATAATAGGAACTGACTATACATGTCAGTTTATATAGCTTTAGAGTTTAGAATGACACATTTATTGATTATTAAATTTGATTGTTCTGAATGATCATGCGAAAGATTATCCTCGGATCCATTTCATGATAAATCAAATTGTTTTTTCTGAATGATTAGGTGACTTATCCTCAGATCCAGGCATATTTGACGATGCAGGAGTTGGGAATATCAGATGATGTATTTTCATCTAACCAGCAGCCTGATCCCACAACTGTTGAACCAAATGAGCTGTCAGAAGTTGAAGAAACAATTAATAATATTGATTGTTCTTCGTGTGGGGAAATGGGATCAGCATTTAATCTCCAGACTGAGAGCATGCCTGTTGTTGAGGATGAGCTTTCACCAATTTCTGCAAAACGCCAAAAGATTCATGCGCCAGAGACAATAACATCAATGGCACTGGGAGCGACGGAGGAATCTTTACTATGCTGGCTCAAGAGTTTTCATGATGGGGTAAGTTGTGAACTTAGACTTGTTTTATAATCCTTGTCAAGGAGATGGTGAAAATGAAACCACCCCCAATGGTCGGTTGGAACCTGAAACACACTAGCAGATAATTAGAATGAAAGAAAATGTGGGAAAAAGAATGTAAGAGTAACATTTTCGTTTCCCCCAGTATCATTTTTCATCACCCAACCATTCCCTAACTGCAATATGTATGCATAGGTGTCTCTCTCTAACCTCATGGAGCATTTCAATGGGTCCACGGAGAAATCCATCATAGATCTTCTGTGCAGCCTTGAAAGTGAGTTCGTGATATATAAAAAGAATGGGTTGTACAAGCTGATGTAACCATAGGGTAGTAGATGGAAGAAGAGTTGTTTGTAATTAATAATTAGTTAGTCGAGTAATGAGAAGCTTGAATGTCAATCCCTCCCGTGCTGGCCTAAATTACAGAAGCAGGAGGATTTTTTGTATAAAAAACACTGATTGGAGGGCAAGTTCGAATATAAGACGCCGATGTAGTCCAGAGATGCCAAGAATGATCTGGATTTTATTTGATCGTGATATTGTTCTAATCATTTAAGGCGCCAAGTGTTGAATCAAAGATTCAAAATTACATATTAACGTCTGATCATCAAAACATCTGTTCATTTGAGTAATTCATTGAATGATGAGTTAATCTGATTTCCAAACTCTAAAAAGCACCAAGCCACCAAGCCTGAAAATGTAATGCTTCCTGGCATTATAGTAAATAGATCAAATATTTCAATTTCTGCATAGTCGATACCCATTGCATTCCAATTTATAGTCCTGAATTATTTTTACACCAATGTAACTCACACAAATCACATTACCTGTCTCAAACAAGAATCCAACTATCCAAGTAGGGGTACTGGGCCCAGGTGGGGTCAGGCTGGGGTGAGCTCTGGGTCCAAAATATTCAGGCTTGGTACTGGCCGAGGTTAGAACCGGGACCGGGTCACGCTGGGTCAGCCCGGGTTGGGTATGAAATAGAGTAATTTTTTTTGTCTGTTCTAGGATGAGGTACAACATCTCTAACTTATGTATGATACGAGGTACTTGTAATATTTAACTGAATTTGTCATATCAGAGTATCAAACTTTTCCACGTACTTTTACCATTTTTTTAAAACCTTTTTACTCAGTATTAATTAATCTAACCCGCCTTGATTTTTTAAAATATAAAGTGAAACAAGAAAAGAGCATTGATCAATAATGTACTCTGCACATTAATCTACTGTATAAGTTCCTCCAGCTCCAACTTTATTCCCATCCGTTGTCTCTTAGCAGAAGCAGGCCCATCCAAAGGTAGCTTGCATTTCTTTTGCAACTCCACTAACCTATGGATGTCAAAAGTATCCTTCTTGATGAGCTTCTTCATCCTCGAAAGGAAGAGCCTCTTATATACATCTTGGTATGACGGGTCTCTTGATGTGACTAAGAAGTAAGCATAACCTATGATTATCCCCGTTGCTGTGGTGAAAAAAGCAATGGGCTCCATAACATCCCAAGATAATTCCCAGTATGTGAGTCGGAAGAAAAGCCCAATCTGTATCATAGTGGCCCACATACCAGTCCATAGGATTCGGCGAACCTGCTTGTGTGCAAGCTTTTCCATACCCTCCTTTATTTGCAGAAGCTTCCTCAGCTCACACTTACATGGATCATTTTCAGGTAGAAGTGCGACAGGCACTGCTTTCCTCACCTGGTCTACTACCTGCAGTTTTTTAAACAAAACGGTTTACATCAAAACCAGGAGAACATTTCTAAGTAATCGATTGAAAGGAAACAGGATTGATCCCAAGGTGTATAGCTACATTGCACCATATTAACATAATATTGATATGATAATACACGTTCTTCTGTTCACCTTTTGTTTTATTTTTATTTGTTTACTAATTTAAGTTTATTTCATTTTAATCAAATCAAATTAAACCATAAAGGTTCAGATCAGCCAAGAGAGAAAAAATCGCATCATACCAGAGAAGGATTATTCAGTTAAGTAATGTTGAACTCAGATCTTAGTACATATAAGAATATCCAGATCAAATGCACAGAGCAAGTCATAAGGCCCTGTCTGGTATGCCTAATCTGCTTATACTGCTTAAGCATAATGAGAAGAATATGTTGCCATTGACTTGCTTAGGCTCTGTTTGATAGCATAAACAAATAATGCCACCTAACAAATAGGGCCTTGATTTGTGCATTTCTTATAAGTAGCCAAAGTGGTTTATTCTTCTATGAAAAGTAGGAGTTTTAGACAGACTTGTTTGGCTGAAATGAATTTAACCAAGAACATCTCCTTTCAGAGTTCACCATTTCAGGCTGCCAGCCAAATAATCCTCACAAAACACTCTTATTTGGTAGAAAAGAAGTTACCAAATGCGTTTTTTTTCAGAAAACTCACCATGTTAACTACTTTCAGCTAAATGAACTGTTCTAAACGGGCAATAACACTCTTATTATGTCAAATTGAACACCATTAACAAATGCAAGTGAAAGGCTCTAAGTTGGTGTACTTAAGCACCACATCATTAGAAATAGCAACGCTTTCATCCAAAAAACATGTTAATTGATGATAATCTTATAAGGTGGCAGTGATGATAAGTTGATAACAAAATGGCACAGAATTATTGAATCTGTCATATGCCAGTTTTTTTTTTTTAAATCCTGCTCTTATATACCGGTAAATATACAACATGGAAGATAAACTAGATTGATAGAGAGAGTACCAGATCCGGGCGAAGATGGACTTTATCACCAAACATCCAAACAACACCCGCCTCATCCAGAACACGAGCAAAGACAACAGCCTCCTCGGGAGACTTCACAATGCACGTTCTCTCACACGCCTGCAAAAGCTCTGAGTAACCAATTACCTCCTTCTCCTCCATCCCCAGTTTCTCCTTCAACGCCTTCACGTTCACCAACCTCATAAGTCTCTTCACCTCCGCCTCCGACACCAACTCTCCTTTCTCTTTTCCCTCGCCTTTACCTTCCTCTTGTCCTCCGTTGGCCGCATAACTACAATAGCTCGACCCGATCAATCTAAACCCGCTGAAACAGCTGCCATAGTTAGTGATACACCTATCGGAGCACGGGCTCCACCACCTCCTCTCCGCCGTCATGATAGTCCGCGCCGGCGGAGGGCGATGTCTCAGCAAGCTAAACGATGTCCTCCACATCGGTAAGGTTTCCGGAAAATAAAAATCAATTTACAACATTAAGCAGTGAAGGGAGTAATACTTGAATATTCAGCATTAAAAGCGTCTAGATTATATCATGAGCCATGATCAGTGCGCAGCTGCTGCTGAGCTAGTAGCTTCGTTTTAGGTTAGGAAGTATGGAATTATGAATGCAGAAAAAATTAGGGGAAGAGGAGTTTTGGAGAGAAGGGATGACTATGTTGATGGAGACCGTCAACACGGAGTTTGTTCGGAAGGTGAAAGAACGCGAAAATGCTCCCCCCCTATTTGTACAAGTGGACATGTAAAAAAGCTATCCCAATCGGGTAAAAGTAAAAGTGTATAAACCCAAATTAGACTCCGCTTTCTTTTCGATTTCTTTTCGATTGCTACATTTTTTTTTTGAACTTTTTCCGATTCCAAATTAGATCGTATCAGATCATATCAAATTAGATCAAATTTAAATAGATTAAATCAAATCAGACCAAATTTAAACAGATAAGATCAGATCAAACAAAACATACACTGAAACCAAATTTTTACGGAAAGAATGACCAAAATAATACTAATAGCTTTTGTAAAGACAAACATATGACTAACTTTAAATTTAGACAAAAAGAGACTAATTATGTTTAGAGAGACAAAAATACCCTCATTTGATATAAAACAAAACCCAAATCCCTAATACACGTATCCCTTCGCCGCACTTCTTCATAGCATGACTGAACATCTTAGCAACACTGCAATCGCTGAGAACCGCCTTCACCACTCGTCGTCTCCGCCGCCCCTGTCATCCACAAATCTCTTTTTCTTATCTTTCTGCCATATCGTTTTCCGTTGTTGCACATATTCCAGTTCGTCGCTCTACTCCATCGTTGCAGCTTAGCCACCGCCGTAACTCGTCCATGACCGTCTACATCATCTTCTACGATGATTCGATTGCAGTTGCCGGACTCACGATGCAGATCTGATGGTTTGCTAGCAGTTTGTGATCCTCAGGCTGAGCGACGGGGACGTTTCAAATTGGTGGTGACGGACTCTGAAATCGAAGAAATCGACTTCAAAATCGGAGGCGGCTTGGGTTACGGCTAAGAGATGGACGGTGACTAGGGTATAGGGTAGGGAAGGTGAAACTGTTGGGGAGGTAGTGGGGCAGTAGTTGGGGGCGGGTGGTGTGGCGGGGATTGGAGTAAGGACAGGGCGAGATGGGGCGGCGGTGTGACGTCGACGGTAGTCACTGGCCGGTGGTCAACCGTGGTGGTCACCAGTGGTGGTAAGTACTGAGAAATGGTTGGGCAGGAAGTGGCATTTGGAGGGGTGAGGTAAGAGTAGGGGCGGTGGTCGCAGATCGACAACAGGGACGGGTCACTGGTGGCAGCATACTAGTCACTACTGGCGGGGACGTGTCACTGGGCGGTGGGGACGGATGTAGTGGGAATAGGTCACTAGGGCAGCAGGGACCGGTCACTGGTCAGCTGGATGGATCACTGACCGGTAGTGAGACTGATCACTGGGCGGTAGGAACTAGAACGGTAGTCACTAACGCGAAAGTAACTGGGACGGTGGCCACTGTAATGATAATAACTGGGAAAGTGATTACATGAGCGGTAGTAACTGGGACGATGGTCACTAGAGCAGTAGTAACTGGGACTGTGGTCACTGGAGCGCGGTAGTAACTGGGACATGGGTCACTGTAATGATAGTAACTGGGAAAGTGATTACAGGAGCGGCAGTAACTAGGACGATGGTCATTAGAGCGGTAGTAACTGAGATTGTGATCACTGGAGTGCGTTAGTAACTGAGACATGGTCATTGGAGCGACAATAACTAGAACGGTGATCATTGGAGCGTTAATAACTAAGACAGCAGTTACTGAAGCAGTAATAACTGAGATAATTTTTACACAAATTTTGGTGTAATAATTTAAATTTTTAAGACTATTTTTTTTTTAAAGGAAATATGAGTAATATTAAAATCAAAAGGAACAAATTGCAATGTTACATAGTGCATAAGTATATATGACAACTCAAGGTTATCCCAATAATTCGGATGCAGACTCATGAAGGCTACTTTAGAGAATTAAATGTTATTAGTCATAGTTTTGGAAACTAAAAAATAAGGTCACTTTTTTGTCCATTAACTATTTTCTAGTAATATTCATGTCAAAACCCCATATTTACGTGTCTAGACCAGACCAGCTTAGATTTAAACAGATCAAACCAACAAATTTCAGTCCAAAAGAATACATCCTTATACACAACATTTTACACGCCAATTAAATTGTCTATACAATGCTATGCACACGAAGCATGACTTGAAAAGAAAGTGAGATAGTTATATGGTTTGTACACTTTTACTTTTACCGCGTGAGAAGTTTTTACATGTCGACTTGTTCACCGATAAAAAACCAACGTGCTTGCACAAGAAGCAAAACCCTTCACGATTTCACCGTCTTTCGCCATTTGGATTGACCATTTGACCCATAACCTCGAGAATTTCCTACGTTTGGATATTGGCGGTTCAACCAAAACACCACCTTTAGATACACATGAAACGTTGCTAATTGCAACGTTTGAGATAGAAAACGCTGAAAAACAAACGAAGTCATATTAGACTTAAGTATATTACACCAACAACACTATTTAAGAAAACATATCTAAAATAGTCACGATAATTAGACAAAGAAATGTGGGTAACAAATTTTAAACCTCTAAGATCATAGTCATAACGTTAAAGACAATTTTTCTTTCTTTATGTCAAAAACATCGTGGGAGATGCTTTCTTGTCGCCAATGTAGGCTAGGGGCTCAATGTACAATATGTACAAATATACTTTTCTTATAACGGACTAAAGTGACAAACTATATTACATTTGAGATAAAAAGAACCTTTGTGTCAGTATACAAGCTTGGCAAGTTGTCATAAAGTAAGTGTAATATTTCTTGTTTTAAAAACATAAATGTTTCATAATATTTCAATTTATTATACTCAAATTTCAATATTTTTTATTTTTTCAACCACTTTATCAATAATCGTGTCAAACCAAAACAAGACACGTACCTGGATGTACCGTGCTACATTGACATGATAAAATGTTTTTTTTTTCAAACACAAAATGAGCACAATGAAAACCCAACAGTGAAAATATAACTTTGATGAAATGATCATCTTATAATTACAATATTAAAAAATATTAAATAAAATTACAAAAATATATAGAATAAAATATAGATGCGGATGTACCACATAATTTCTCGGGAGTGTCCACATTTTTTGGTAAATAACATTTTTATTATTAAAAATGAAAGATTATATTTGAAGGTTAAATAGTGTACACTAACTTAATGTGATAGACTCTGAGTCTAATTCAAGATCGAGCATACCATACGGTAGGAAACGAACCTTTTGTCTTTTTGTACTTTGCATGGATTTTGATTATTCAATATAAACCAAATTCTTTCGAAAAAACAAAAAAGGTGTGGAGGAGAAAATTAACGTTTGTGCACACCATGATGTGCACCTTTTATACGCACTTTCACACAAATAAACATTAATGTCAAACTACATCACACAAAGCATGTCTACTTGAAGAAAATCCATTTGAAAGCATTGTTTTTTCCCAAAACTAATGTTCGTTGCAGACCCTAATTTGAGTGCTCACATATATTTACTACTACTTTCGTTCCGTTGGAAGGTTCCCATAACAAAACGACACAGTTATTTATACAATAATTAAATAAAGTATTTTGAGTATATTTTGAGAAATAATTTTAATAGGTATATATATTATAATGTAGTTAGTATTGATAACTGTGATGACGTAGTTTTATAAATGTATTATTTTTAATATTTAATGATTAATTAATTTGTCACTTAAGATTGTTAATTGTTTACTAAAATGGAAATGAGAACATTTATATGGGACGTCCAAAAAAGGAAAGTGAGAATCTTCTAATGGGACGGAAGGAGTATTATTTAAGTCTTGTTTGGTTTGACATGTTTAAATTTTGGTATGATATGATTATAATCAAGTCATATCTCCTTTGAAATTAAAATTAATCAAGTAAATATGCTTATGTATATATGTGTACACTGTACACAAATGTTTGTGACATACATTTGGCATCTTTTGCATTGGATTTTTTTTCTTCACACAAACATGTTTCATCACTAGCTTCTTGTCAACATTATTCCTTGCTAGCGCAATCGTGATGTCTATCGTTGTGCAATTCACCGATCAGATTAATAGATGATGAAGCGAAATGGAGGCACACACTCCACTCCATATAAAGGAAAATGATGTGACGATGAGTGATTTAAGTAGACTATTTCACACACTTCAGATTATCCTCTTCTGAGAGATCTTTAATTCAAGTCATCAAGGAGGTGAATTTAAAAGATCTTTCTCAAATCTTAGATTCTCCTCACCCCCTATAATTAGCTCCATTAGTGTGAGAGTCCAAGATTATGACGGTGAAGTCAGAGTAAACTAGTTCTAACAAAAAAACAAAAAAAAAAGGATGATAGGAGGAGATTTGAGCTTTGTGTTTTACCGTAAATGTAAAAATTGCCCCTTGTGTTTTTAATTAATCTTAGGAGTTTACCCATAGAGTGCACTTTTATTATTTCATCTATGACTACTATTGCACTTATTATCTATTTTATAACTCGGGGAACTCTTATCAGTTATCACTGGTCCGGAGGAGCCTTCTAAATCCTGGCTTGTTGGGACTTGGGAGAACCTTATACACCTTAGGGTAGTTCTGTCATTCTACAGCAACCTTTGTACGGAGTATCATTTTATTTAATCGCCGAGAAGCAACATGGAAAGAAAGCAGAAAGCATGAAAAGTTTATCTATTAATCCATTTTGGAGATTTGATTTATGTGGGAAAACTTGGCAACTTTTTACTCCATCAAACTAAGAGCCTCTTTGGTAATCCAGTTTTATTGGCTTATCAGACTCATCAGTCAATTTTTTTAACAAACACGTAACTTTTGAGTTTGCACGCTGGTTTTTGTAATAATAAAAAAGTAAGGTTGAAGTGACTTTTTTGACTGTATTGGCTGAAGTTACTATAGATGACTATTTTAGCTATTTTTTCATGTTATTTTTCTTTTTTTAATAAAATATATTTTAAATACTCCGTATAATTTTTTCATAAATCAGCAGAATTAGACAATTCAACCATCTCAGCCAGAATTTCATAAATTTCAACAGAATCAGCCGATCTATAAAGCGATCTATAAAATTCACTTCA